ATTTTGCCTTCTGGTTCTAGGACTTCAGGGCAGTTTTCCTTTATGATTTCCTGAAGGATATTGTCCAGGCTCTTTTTTTCATCATAATTTTCAGGTAGGTTTATAATTTTTAAATTTTCTGTCCTGGATCGATTTTCCTGGCAGTTGTTTTACCCATGAGGTATTTTATATTTTCATCTATTTTTTCATTTTTTTGTTTCTGTTTGACTGATTCTTGCTCTCTCATAGTCATTACTTTCCATTTGTTTAATTCTAATTTTTAACATATTATTTTTTTCTGTTAGATTTTGTACTTTCTTCTCCAATTGGTCAATTGTATTTTTAAGGGATTTGCTTTCTTAAGTGTACTTTTTTTTCCAGTTGGCCAATTGTATTTTTAAGGGATTTTTTTTCTTCAGTGTACTTTTTTTCCAGTTGGCCAATTGTGTTTTTTAGGGACTTGTTTTCTTCAGTGTACTTTTTTTCCAGTTGGCCAATTGTACTTTTTAAGGACTCGTCTACCTCTCTCATTTGACTTTTAAAATCCTTCTTGAGCTCTTCTAAGAAAGCTTTTTGGGCTTCAGATCAGTTCATATTCCCTTTTGATATTGCAGATGTGGGTTTGATGACAATGTTGTCCTTTTCAGAATGTCTGTCTTGATCTTCACTCTTCTCATAATAGTACATTTCTTTCTATTCATGGGTGTTTCTTTATTCCTTGGCCTTTAAAGAGATTAAGCTCTCCTGCTGGGGAGCAGAGGGCACTGACCCAAGCTTCTTGTGTTGGGAGCCTAGGTCTTGGTCACTGGCTTTGTGTGCTGGGGCCTCTTATGTTGGCAATTGGAGGCTGTAGGGTTCTGGCTGCTTACCTGGTATTGGGCTGGAATCAGCAAGGCTGGGACTTTCAGGCAAATCTAGGTTGCCTGCTTTTCCTTTCCTTTAGCTTTATTTGGCTCCTTTTAGATGGGTGCTGCCAGGTGTTTATCTGCCTGGGGTCCCTTGCAGTACTGCCTCCCTTAGTTCTGTTGAGGCACTGGGAGACTCCTTTGCTGTAGAATGCTGAGGCACCTGGTGGTTTTCTGAGCTGGTTTCCACGGGTTCCCCCGCCCTCACTGAGGCACTCGGAGGTCCAGCTGTTGGTGTTTGCCTGCTCGACCACCTGGGCTTCAGGATCTCCTCCTGGTTGGCAGTTGGAGGCTGTAGGGTTCTGACAGCTTACCTGGTGTTGGGCTGGAATCAGCAAGGCTGGAACTTTCGCGCAACTCCAGGTTGCTTTCTTCAGCTCCTTTTAAAGGAATGCTGCAGGGTGCGTATCCACCTGGGGCCCTTTGTAGTACTGCTTACCTTATTTTTGCTGAGGCACTGGGAGATCCGTCTGCTATAGAATGCCCAGGCACCAGAATCTCTTCCTGGTATGCAAAAGTGGGTCTTTCCACTAGCTGACTGGGCGACTCCCTGTTCTGTACTGCTCCCCTTCCCCCAGGGTAAGAGGGGCCTTTCCCATTAATCCCTTTAGGTACCTGGGTTACTGCACTGCTGCACCCCGTCTTTCTTCTGGTTCAGCTGTTCCAGGGTTTTTTCTGGGGTGATATTTTCTGGGTTTTCAGAGGTTGATAGGGTGAGAGCAACTACCTTTTTACTCTGCCATCCTGGCTCCCGGAAGCGGAAGTGTCCACTTTTTGTTTTAAACAACCCCTGTCAAACCATTAATCAATGAAGGAATTTAATAGATTTTTATTTGAGTTTCAGCGTCTCTCCTTTCTGATAATGTTTCAAGAAAAAACTTAGCCATGGAAAATGGAAGAGAAACAGAGGTCTAGTTATTTGAACTTTGTGTATAAATTGCTTTTCTCAAACTACATGGTTCACCATGAAAACTGGGGTGAAAATAGAGCCTTTTCTTCTGCTCTGGAATGCCTCACTTTAAGGACAATAATATCCCATTTATCCTGAGTCATTGGGAAGGAGATAATCTGTGTGACTTCACCAGATAGTTCATCCTTTACTTTTTTAAGTGCCACTACTTAAAAAAAATCAACTACTTTATAAAACAAAAATCATAATAAAATTTATGAAACACTTCACCGTCCTTTTGGATGGAATATTTGCAACATGTTAGCCTTTTCCTCAGGACTCAGGGTTATTGTTATACTTCGTCCTTCAGCATTTTACAAGATTTATGATTTCTTACTCTGTTCACTAATGCATATTTAAATCCTTTCATCCTTTATAGACTATCATGAGATTGTTATGAGTATTCTCACTAATGCACAGCTAAACCCTTATGTCCCTCAGTAGACAGTCTTCATGAGTTACAACCAAAGAAATTAATCCCATGGTGGCCCAGTTCCTGGTGGTAAGCCCCTATATATTTAGTCTTATTGCCAGGCTTATACTTTGGGAATTTTCCCCTCTAGATACAACCTGTCAGAGCTTCTCATCCAATGGAGTATCGTTTTTGAGAACCTAGGGTGACCTCTGTGCCATAATGAAGCATCACTGTAGGAATTTAGTAGAAGTAGGCTTATGATTATGAATATAAATTATGCTACTGTGCTATAATAGAGTTTGTGCCTTCAGTAAATAACCCCAGATTACTGTGCTACTATTGGGTGTAAAATAATCATAAAACAGTGTCATTGAGTTAGGGTCTGTTGGGCAAAAAGCATGGTATTTGTGATGTCAGTTTCCATTGTGAAGAAATGTTTCACTGACCTCTGGGTTCTTTGGCACATTCCACTTGTCTGAGACAGCATAGTACTTTGGAAAGTCACTATATTTGATGTCAGAGGAACTGGTTCAAATTCTGACCGTCTCATTTACTAGCTGTCTGACCTTGGACAAGTCACTTTTAATGAATCCATAACATGAAGCAGTCAAATTGAACAACCTCTACATCTCCGTTCCTATGACCTCTACATTAATAGAGTTTTTAATACTGTAAGAATCTCAATTTGTCAAACAGGTAAATTAGGATTCATATCACAGTAGGATTCCTCAGTTTAAAGCAGGAATTCTTAACTTATTTTGTGTTGTGGACATCTCTGCTTGTATGGTGAAGCCTAAAAGCCCTTTTCTCAGAATAATGTTTTTAAATGCATAAAATAAAAAACATGGAATTACAAACAAAACCAATAATATTGAAAGTTATCAAAATGTTAAGAAAAGATATCATAGACCACAGACTTAAGAAACTCCTGCTTTAAAGAAATCCTGCAATTTTAATCTTAAGTAAATAAACTTGTTATCTGAGTGCATACAAATATTTTCATTTCTACCCAACTTGTCAGGAGCAAATCAAATTTTATAAATTAAAATAGGTTATGTAGGTGTTTCCCAGTTTGTGTATTATGGCAAATCTAAGATTGCCTGTGTCTCAGTAGGCATTGATCTTAAAAACCTTTTCAGTGAGTGTTGCCCAGTTGCTTGGGTTATTCATTTTGAAATCCCTTCACACTTTAATAATACCATCTGGTTGTTTTTCAGACTTCATTGAAATTTTTGAATGTCTGCCCTTTTCTCCTCAACCAGCGTCCAATCACTTCTGGTGTAAGGCTTTGGGAGGTGCCAGGGAGCAGCTATGTGGCACAGTGGATAGAGTGATAGAGTGCTAGGCCTAGAGTTAGGAAGACTCGTTTTCCTGAGTTCAGATCTGGCCTTAGACAGTTACTAACTCTGTGATCCTGGGTAACTCACTTAACCCTTTTTGCCTCATTTTCCTCATCTGTAAAATGAATGGGAGAAGGAAATGGCAAACGACTCTAGTATCTTTGCCAGGAAAACCCCCATGAGGAGTAGAACACAACTGAAAAATGACTGAACTGAACAAAATGTGTTAGGGCTGACCTTATTCATGAGAAAGGTTGCAGATGAGGAAACTCCAAGCATGCGAGTAGAGCTGCTACCAGCATCATCAGAACTAGAATCTGGAACTCATACATGGGTTGATGAGTTTTTGTTTTCTGGATCCTTCTATGAGACTCAGCCCCTGATTCTAGCTACAGCTACTGCCTGTTTCCTCTTTGTCTGTGTTCCTTGGTTCCAGTTCCCATTTGTGTTTTCTGGGTGCCCTTTGTTGGACATGATATATATATATATATATATATATATATATATATATATATATACACACACACACACATATATATTTTAACTTTCCCTTTCTCCCATGCTGCTTTGCCTTCTCCACCTTCACTTCAAGTCCCCAGTTCTGGAAAGACTTGCCAATGTGATTCAGCCCCCAGAAGAACATGATTGGCCAGTGCCCTGCAACTTGCCTTATATTTGTACAGCCATGATTAAATCCACATGATTAAATCTCATTATGTTACTTTGGATTTATATAGCAGCTTTCCTTCTACTAGGACAGATGATTAAATTTTGTCACACAGGCCCCCAAACACTTCCCCAAGCTATAGTCCTCCAGATTGACAATGTCCTGGAAATGTCAGTCCTGTCTGCAAAACTGTCTGAAGTTGCTCCTAAAGAAGAGGATAAAGCTAGAAGCAAATGAAGGACCAGAGGATGAATTTTGGATGCTGGACTGGATGACCTCCTCAGTAGAAGCGAGGGCGCAGAATTCATTGTGAGCCAACTCTCCTCGTGTGCCTGAAGGATGCTGTTATCCTGTTACTTTCATACCTTGTCTTTTGACTTTGATGTGTCTGCAAGGCACAGTCAGGCTTGTCAGGTATCAGTGACTATTGTATATGTAGCCTCCTCTTGAGACGTTAAGATTTAATTTAGATTGTTGGCCTTCCCCTTGTCAACCAAAGTTGTGGTCTCAGGAACTATGCAATATTAACTTGCAGAAAAAAAAAAAGATAATTTTTGATTGGTCTTTTGTGGTTTGCTAACCTGCTTAGAGATGGTAAGTCTTCTTGGTGTTGTTTTATCTTGAGTAGATTTTGAAAATGCACGGATCGGTGTTGGTGTCTTTATGTCCCTTCACCTTCTCATTTGATGCTTAAATGTGTTCTGTATTCATTTACTCTTTCCCCCCAAAACCTTTTATCTGGGGTGTTCTTTCAGCAGTATATACATTAAATTTGGAACACTAGAGAGAGGCTGAGCATGGCCCCTGCATGAGGATGACACACAGAAACTACAACAAGATAAAGTAGAAAGAACAGTGACACACCAAAAAAATCAAAAGTAAATTAACAAAATTATTCCGATCCAGCAAGCCTTGAATGAAGAGATATGATAGGATACCCTCCAATCTATCCTTTTGTGGAGGTGGTTAAACATTTCACATGTTTTCAGACTTTTTTCAGTATATTGATCAGTTGTGCTGATTCTTTTCCTCGCAAAAAAAAATACTATTTGTTATATGGGATAACCATCTGTGAGGGTGAGGGGAGGAGAATTAGGACGATGCAAACAATAGAAAATGCCAGTAAAAACTTATTTTCAAAAATCGCTTCATTTGCAGATTTAGCTAAGGGTTTTATTTTTTTTTCCTTAAAGGCGAAGGCTCCCTGTCTTACCCAGGCTGAGAGTGTAGTGGTTACTCATGGGCCCAATGCCTCTAATGTTTGGCTCAGGGTTTTGAATTGCTGTATTTCCTGGGCTGATTTGCCCTTCCTTAGGCAACATGGAAGGGCAGCTAGGTGTTGCATGGGGATAGAGCTCTGGGCTTGGAGTCGGGAAGACCTAAGTTCAAATCTGGCCACACTTCCTAGCTGTGTGACCCTGGACAAGTCACCTAACTCAATCTGTAAAATGAATGGGATCATGAAGTCAAACTGAAACAACTGAACAACAGTGAGGCAATGTGGACTCACCATGAAACTCACCACGTTGATGCTGGACTACTTAGTGTGCACACCTAATAAGCTCAGCTTACTACAACTCAGACTTTTCAAGCTCGGAAGTTAGTTCTACTCCTTTAGCCTCCCCAGCATTGGAGAATTGGAAACATGCACTTCCCTTCCATCCTCGTTTTCGGCTTTAATATTTCTTAATGCTATAAATTTGCACAATTCGTCCTGTCTCTGTTGTCTCCAGGTTGTCCACAAACATGGATTCACTGTACCGTCGATAATAATTTCTGTCTGAAAATCCTTTTGTCTAACTGAATTTGGATAATTTTGTTTTAAATGAGGTGCCCTTGGTAATAAGCACCCTAATTTTGAAAAATAGTTTGTTGAAACTCTGTATTACTTTTCTTCTAGAAGGCTCATAGAGAAAACTTAACCCTTTTTCAAGTTGCTTGAACATTAGGTATTTTTAAAAAAATTTTTTTGACATTAAGTATTTTTAAGAGTTATAATTTACATGATTCAAAGTAGGGAAGAGACAGGAGAATCAAGTATCTGTTTGACTTCTCCTTATTTCATGATGTTTTTATTTTTATCTGAACCCAGTTTCATTGGTACAGGGAACTCCTCATAAAGAAATCCCTTATGGCAATGAGAATTGGCACCTGCTGTCCAACATAATTGATGTCTCAGAGAGTTGCCTGGGTGACTGAGAAGCTAAGTGGTTTTGTTCAAGGTCACATAGTCAAGATGTGTGAGAGGTGGCTTAGCAGTCTTCCTGACTCTAGTCTGACTTGTCCATTATCCCCTGGCTGCTTCTCTGGGTAATTAATAATTGTGTGTTGGCTTTCTAAAAGGAGAAGCAAGAAGGAGCAAAGAACCAAAGGAAGATACTTCAGAGATTATCTAATGCAATCCTCTCACAAAGGGGAAAACTGAAGCTTGTAGAGGGAAAATGACTTATCTGCGTTCATCTAAGTAACACATGGCAGCAGAGTCAGGATTTGAACCCAGGACTTTGGACTCGTAATATCCTTTTATACCAAATATTTCCTTTTGGGGATAAACCTCTTTCCCTCCTCCTTTTGGAATATCAGTTTATAGCTCTGCATAAATATAACTCTGCCAGTCTGTTTTATCTCCCAAAGGGTAGGCTATGAACATACCTGGACCAGAGCATAATTCTGAAAGTGCTAGGAAGACCATGTCAATTGGGGAAGGAATAGGAGTAGAAAGATGGGAATAGTCAAACATGTAGTGGTGGATCTAGGCTGACCCTGAGTGTTCTAGAATGAAATGGTTGCGTGAATTTCCTGTAGAATGAATGACTTGGACCCTTGAGGAGTTCTCCTGAACCCTCCAGATTTGCTGTTTGTGGAAATGAGCTCATTTGTTCTGTACTAGGCAGGGTTCTAGGATTCTTTAAAAAATTTTTTTATTAATTTAAATTTAAATTTTTTTTAATAAAACAAGCATCTTTGTAATAAAAAAGGTGATTACACATGAAACTGCATATTTACTATGTACAACTTGCTATTCCTTTTACATCTTTAATATTAAAGTTATCATGTAAATTTCTTTTTTCCCCCTCCTCCTCCTCCCTCCTCGGCCCCAGAGATGTCTACCATTAGACACAAATATGTATATATATGTAAAACCATTCCATACATACTTCTTTCTCTGGGTGCAGTTAGCTTCTTCCTTAATATGTCTTTTGTAGCTCATTTGAGTATTTATAATAGTGAAAATGACTTATTTGCTCAATTATTCTTAAAACAATATTACTATTATTGTACACAACATTCCCTTGGTTCTGTTCATTTCACAACTTCATTATTTCTAGGATTCTTAGTGACTAGTCTATCCTTTGAGCCCTGGAGAGCTAAAGGAGATGGTATTCACACATTAGTGCAACATAGATGATGTGGAATATAGTGGTTTTGAGTAATAGAAAACCCAGGATTCAGTGCTGTCAGTTCATTTGGTCAGCTTCTAAAAGGTCACCTATCTTAATTCCTGTATCTATGCCTGCTGTTTCTACTCTTCCGAGAGCACCAGGATATTAGCCGTGGTCGATTCTTCATTGTTCCAGCACAGAGTTAAATCTTTGTTTTGTGTTTTTGTGGCACAGAAGGTTGTGACAAGAATGAAATGAGTTGTAGATGTTTACTGTCAGAGGCAAATACATGAGGAAGGGCCCTAAATGCTAGAGGGAAGCATTTGTCTTTTAAAGCGTCATGAAGAAAATAGCTTGTTCAAAATCAGAGGAACTAGTATTTTGATCTCATCTTTGCTACTCAATTGCCTTCCTTCCCATTTTTTGGTTCTCCTAAGTACCATGGTAGAATAATGGAGAAAAGTATTGATTAAGTACTTAACTGTGTGCCAAGTGCTGTGTTAAGTTCTGGAGATAGAAATAGAAGATCAGGACAGGTTCCCCCTTGCACTGAGCTCACATTCTAATTGGGCAGATAACACATAAAAAAGGGTTCATGTTTATGTTCAGTTTATAGCTGATGAAAAAACCTAGGCAGCACTTAAATGAAGAGGAGGTGGCAGGACAGGTGGAAATGACCAGAGGATCTTGGGGAGGAAGGGCCAAGCAAATGGTCAGTTCTCTACTAAGAGGGTACTGGGTTCAGGGTTTGGGGAGGAGTTAGGTTCTGGAATATCTATAGAACAGATAGGGATCTGGGAATTCACTTGGCAAGGAGTGTCCCATACCTGGTCGGAAACTAACAGTTGAGCAGCTAGAATTGGTTGGGGGAATGAAAAGTGGATGGTTCTGCTCCATAGAAGAGGGGGTCACTTGTCCTTGTTCTAGTGAGGAAGGCCCTTGGCCCTCCACCAGTGGGAGCCAGTGGAGGTGGCTGGTCCCAGGTCCTCAGGCAGGCAGTTGGTGGGCTGAGAACGTCCCCCGCTGTCCCCATGTTGTTAGTCAAGGCAGGAGTATCAGTTCATAGCATTATCTCTCAATGAGAGTATCCCAAGAGGAATCTTCTTCACCAGTTGCAAGTTGTGGTCTGTGTGCTTTTCTGCCTCAGTACCCTCCAAGTGCCTCATTCTTTCTACCCTCCTAACAAATGTGGATTATAATTTCAGATATAGAGTAATACTCTCATTTTGTTCAGTCACTTGGGGAGAGAGCTAAGAGAGTAGCTGTATTAAAGAAAGTCAGGGAATATAGAACATCTCATAATGTTTCACTGAGTTTTAAAATAGCGAACCTAATTCTCTTTTCTACAGTTTGAAGAGTGGATTGTAGTTGTGTGTGTCTTTTTTTTTTTTTTTTTAATCTCCCCCAAAGAAAGAGCTCTGCAGGGAGTAGAGCTAGGAAGAGTGGAGAATAATCTTCCTCCAAGGTCATGGTTAGGGGCAGCACACAGTGGTGTTTTGGGGCATAAACATCTGTCATGACTCCATTTGGAGCAATGACCGTCATGATCACTGACATTTATATGGTGCTATAATGATTCTAAAACACTTGCATAATGTTAGCTTCTGCCTATCAGGAATCACTGACTACACTTTAGCAATTTTCCACTCAAAGGAAGGAGTTTCTTGTCTTGAGCGCATACTCTGAGTTTGAGAAGAGGGACAGATTTGGGGAAGTAAATAAAAACATTTTTTTAAGCTTCTCTCTAACCCCTTTTCTAATTTTTCTCTTCCTTTTGCCATTCTTTTTTCTCCCTTTTCCCCTCATTACCACGAGGCATCCAGAGCTGTCTTGTTATAAAATAGAAGATGCTTCTGAATAACTAGGGTGTCCTATAATGGAACGGGCTGCTGTGGAAGGGAGTGTATTTATTGTTTCTCTCTTTGAAGGTTTCCAGGCTACCCAGTTTCCCTGTTCACTTTCTTTCTGTCCTTCCATCAAAAAACTCTCCTGTCTTTTGTCCCAATCTGACTGAAACAATTGTAATTAATAATAAGGTATTTGTGGCTAAAAATGACTTTTTGTAATTCTTCTCCACCCATTCTACCCCCTACCAAATACCATATTTGCATTTTAACAAAGGGGTAGTGCTCTTAAACCAGAGACATTAGCTTATGAAGTTATCTTCATCAATGATGAGAATTTCAGATAGGACTGATGTTAGGACTATACTAAGGGGTTGGTGAAGCAGATCAGGCCTTTTTAAGGCATCTTTCTTTGCCTGTATGTAATCTGTCATGATTTTAGGGGGGAGGTGGTAAGGGGGCGGGGGGGGGTGTGCATTTACATGGATCCATGGCAAAAGTAGAGAACTGAGAGAATATCTCAGTGGAATTGAATGGTTATCTTAGTCATATCCATAGGTTTTCCTGTTTTTTTTTTTCACAAAGCATTTTATCTTCTGTGTTCCAGCAAATTCAGTTATTT